CTTCTGACAATTGCATTTTTCTCCTTTGGAACATCAGCAAGACGTTGGATTTATACTAGGACTAGTCATGTTGGGGGAGGTACCTCTTAACATGTTGAGGACATGGAGTTTTGTTTGGAAGGGACTTCAGTTTCCTCTCTACCCACCAAATGCTATGCTGATGCCTATGGCTTGTCCTTCTGGTTGGGCTTATTCAAAGAAAAAAATAAGACACTTAGGAGGCAGAAACTTTGAGGCCAGGAACAGTTGAGTGTGGCGTGGTCAGTCGGTCTGTCTGAAGTCACTTAGTTAACTATGTTGAATAGAAAAATACAGTAAAAGAGCCCACCTGCTGTTCTCCGGGGATCCTGAGACGTATGCCAGCTCCATGCTGTTATAGTATCAGAGACCAGAGGGGTGTGGGTGGAAACTTCACAAACAGTCTGGCTTCTTCTAAACCCCTTCAGATGTTAATCCTTTATATATCAAACTTGGAGCACAAGTGCGGCAACTCAACCTGCTGACAGGATTAAACAAGAATACCTGAGGCCAGGCACGGTGGCTCATGACTGTAATCCCAGCACTTTGGGAGGCCAAAGTGGGTGGATCACGTGAGGTCAGGAGTTCGAGACCAGCCTCACCAACATGGTGAAACCTCGTCTGTACTAAAAATACAAAAATTAGCCGGATGTGGTGGCACACACCTATAGTCCCAGCTACTTGGGAGGCTCAGCCAGGACAATCGCTTGAACCCAGGAGGTGGAGGTTGCAGTGCACCGAGATCATCGCATTGCACTCCAGCCTGGGCAACAGAGAGAGACCCTGCCTCAAAAAAAAAGAAAAAAGTATCTGCCCTAACCCGCCACTCCCATTTATTTTGCTCTCTTGAAGGAAAAAGGTCCAGGAACTGTTGACAATTTTTATCCAAAGTAACTGACACAAGGACAAAAATACTTTATCAAAACAAGAGAGACTATAGACTATTTATTAATCCCCTGGAAAACTGGGCATCTTTTGAAATGATGTCATGTATCTGAAACCCAAATTCTGAAATTAAGTTCCTTGGACACACCAAAAGCAGGGCAATAACATTTATTGGTGTCTTTTGTGTGTCAGTTAATGCAAATGCTTTGCATATGTTGAATAATTTTAAGCCCTCAAAACAAAACTGTCTTCACTTTCACGGGTCTAGAAAAGGAAGCTCTAAAATTGAGATCATACCTACAAAGTACCATGACTAACAGAGTACACGTTCTTAGGGGAGGCAATTCGTCTGTTTATCAATAACTGGGCTGTCTTACAGTGAATAAAATAGCTATATATTTTATTATACATATATATATATATATATATTTTTTTTTTTTTGAGAAAGGGTCTTGCTCTGTCACCTAGACTGGAGTGTGGTGGTGCCATATTGGCTCACTGCAACTTCCGCCTCCTGGATTCAAGCGATTCTCCTGCCTCACCCTCCAGAGTAGTTGGGATTACAGGCGTGCACCACCATGCCCGGCTAACTTTTGTATTTTTAGTAGACACTGGGTTTCACCATGTTGGTCAGGCTGGTCTCGAACTCCTGACCTCAACTGATCTGCCTGCCTTAGCCTCCCAAAGTGCTGGGGTTACAGTCATGTAAATATACAAGTTTTATAGACAAGTTAGAAAAAATATATAAGGGAAGGCACAGTGGCTTATGCCCAGCACTTTGGGAGGCCAAGGTGGGCGGATCACCAGGTCAAGAGTTCAAGATCAGCCTGGCCAATATGGTGAAACCCCACCACTATTAGAAATACAAAAATTAGCTGAGCATGATGGCACGGGCCTGTAATCTCAGCTACTTGGGAAGCTGAGGTAGGAGAATCGCTTGAACCCAGGAGGCAGAGGTTGCAGTAAGCCAAGATCGTGCCACTGCACTCCAGCCTGGGTGACTGAGCAAGACGCTGTCTGCCTTGAAAAAAAATTTTAAAAAGGAAAACAAAAGAAAAAACATGTAAGCAAAAAGCAAAATAATCAGACATAATCCACCACCCAAAGTTACCACAGAAAACGGTATTATATTTGAAAACACCAATATATTTACCTGTTTTTGTCATCTGAGCTGTTACAGTGAGCCTTTTTCTAGATCAATAAATGTAGGTCTGTGTCATCTACAGTTGGCTGGATAGTGTTTCGGTACTTGTATGTCTCATACATTATTCATCTGGCTCCCCTATCAGACATTTAGGTTGTCTCTAATTTTTATTTATTGTAAACAATGCTTCCATGCATATCTTTGTACATCTTTGGGAGCTTTTGTTTTGTTTCCTTAGGAAAAGTTCTTAGAAGTAGATTTGCAATGTCAAAGGGAATGCATATTTTTTTTTGTAAATTTTAAATCTATCTATCTATCTATCTATCTATCTATCTATCTATTCATATACACACATATATAAAATACACAGAAACGTTAAAATGGTAGTTATGGAGGGTGGGGGCCCTGCATGATAGAAGGAAATGGGAAGATGCAGGTCAAAGGGAACGAAGTTGCAGTCTTGTAGGATAACTAAGACTATAGATTTGATGTACAGCATGAGAACTATAGCCAATAATATTGCATATCCGTGATTTTCCAGAGAGTAGGTTTGAAGTGCTCTTATCACAAAAAAGAAAGGTAACTATATGAGATGATGGGTATGTTCATTTGCTTGACTATAGCAATCAATTCATTATGTCTATATATCAAGATAAGTCAGTATATCAAAACATCATGTCATACACCTCAAATACATACAGTAAAAATTAAAGTATATCACATATACTGAAAGTGCACAAATTATAGTTTGATGAAAAATCATAAAAATGCACCTGTATAAATATGAGACACTCTAGTCCTTCAATGTAAACAAGGAAAAAAATACCTATATATGAGACCCAGATTAAGATATAGAGAAACATCAATACTCTGAACCTCTCTCGTGCTTCCTCCCTATCTTTTTTTTTTTTTTTTTTTTTTTTTGAGACAGAGTCTCACTGTCACCCAGGCTTGAGCGCAGTGGCGCAATCTCAGCTGGGACTACAGGCATGCACCACCATGTCCGGCTAATTTTTGTATTTGTAGTAGAGACACGGTTTTGCCATGTTGGCCAGGCTGGTCTCAAACTCCTGACCTCAGGTGATCTGCCTTGGCAGCCCAAAGTGCTGGGATTACAGGTGTGAGCCACCACGCCCGGCCCCCTCCTTGTCTTCACTGCAGCTCCTTCCCAGATGTAAGCACTTGTCCAACATTTAATATACTAGATTGATTTCTTTTAGCTTTATATAAATGTAATCATACAGTATGTACTTATTTGTGTCTGATTTCTTTTACTCAATATTATCTTTATGAACTTACTCATGTTATCGAGTATAGTGGTAGCCTATTCATTTTAATTGCTGTATTTCTGGAGGGTAAGCTCTAATATTAAATTAAATTAATTTAATTTAATTTTTTTAAATTTTATTTTTGGAGACAGGATCTCTGTCACCCAGGCTAGAGTGCAGTGGCATGATTATGGCTCACCACAGCCTCAACTTCCCGGGCTTAGGTGATCCTCCCACTTAGCCTCTCAGGTAGCTGGGACTACAGGCATGTGCCACCACTACTGGATAATTTTCGTATTTTTTATAGAGATGGGGTTTCACCATGTTGCCCAGACTGGTCTCAAACTCCTGGGCTCAAGCGATCCACCCACCTTTACCTCCCAAAGTGCTGGTATTACAGGTGTGAGCCACCACGCCCAGCTAATATTTAATTTTTCAAAAGTGAATACTCATGTGTAACCATCACTCCTTAAGCCTCCCTTGTGCCCTCCACTGGTCATTACTTCCTCTAAAGGTGACCAGTCTTCCAATTTCTATCACCCTTGATTTGTTTTACCTACTTTTGAACTTCAGCTAAATGGATCATATAATATGTATTATTTGATGACTGGCTTATTCCATTCATCATTATGTCTGATTCATCCATGTTGTTGGGTTTAGCAGGATTTCATTCTTTATTGCTGTGTGAATATACAACAATTTATTCATCTATTCTGCTGTTGATGAATATTTGGATTTTATCTAATTTTAGGTTATTATGGATAATACTACTATGAATATCTTGATTTTGAGAATTGTCATTCAGTATTATTAAAATTTTCATGTCTCTTGGAAAGTTTTATAGTTTTCGTCATATCAGTTCTACGCATTTATGTATTTCTACTCTTACATTTTTAAAGATGAGGGCTTGCTCTGTTGTCCAGGCTGGTGTGCAGTAATATGATTGTAGCTCACTGAAGCCTCAATCTCTGAGGCTCAAGTGATCCTCCCCCCTTAGCCTCCCAAGTAGCTGGGACCATAGACTTGAACCACCACACCAGGCTATTTTTCTTTTTCTAATTTTTTGTAGAGAGGCAGTTCTCGATATATTGCCAGACTAATCTTGAACTCCTAGCTTCAATTGATCCTCCTGCCTCAGCCTCCCAAAGCACTGGAATTATAAGCATTGAGCCACTCACCCAGCTTTGCATTTATTTTTAAGTTTGTTCCTAGGTAGTTTATGTCTTTGTCTGGTTGTTTATGTTGATTATGTTTGGTTGGTTTTTGGTTTTTTTTTTGATAGCTTGTATTTTTTTATTGCATTTGTGAATAGGATCTTCTTCCAGGGAGGTCTTTATATAACATATTGTAAAAGAAACTAATGAGTATTGTTTAGAAATTTAGGGTCTTAAGGAAATTTTACTTACCTCTTTTATTTGTAAATAATTATCAAAAAGGTCTGGGACGGTGGTTCACACCTGTAATCCCAGCACTTTGGGAGGCTGAGGCAAGAGGATTGCCTGAACTCATGAGTTGGAGACCAGCCTGGCCAACATAGTGAAACCCCATCTCTAATAAAACTACAAAAATTACCTGGGTGTGGTGGCGCGCACCTGTAGTCCCAGCTACTCAGGAGGCTGACGCAGGAGAAATGCCTGAACCCGGGAAGCAGAGGTCGCAGTGAGCTGAGATAGCGCCACTGCACTCCAGCCTGAGCAAAACCTTGTCTTAAAATAATAATCATAATAATAAGTCAAAAGTGATCATAGTTCATTTGTTTTACCTACTTTTGAACTTCAGATAAATATAATATGTATTATTTGATGACTGGCTTTGTGATGTGCCCTGTTGACTTTTCATTTCATAGTGGTACAAAGGTAACAGAATTTTGGAGAAATTCCATATTACATGGTGGTGTTGAAAGCTTTCCCACTTCAGCAGCTGCTGCAGGAAGTCTATTCGGCTGCCAGAAAAGAACACCTAAAAGCTGTCACTCAACAGGGGATTATGCACCAGGTACTAAATCTTTAGCACTTAAGTGCTAAAGAGAGGGTAGTAAACCCAACAGATGAGCACAAAAAGCATGCATAGAGCTTTCAGCCTATAGAGAGGTAATCGTAGTTAATCCAGCACGGGCAAGAGCTTTCCAGGCCCGGGAACCTCATGAGGAAGGCCCTGAAAAGGGAAGGCGATTCATTCTTTGGAGAAGGAGGAGCGCTCCCTGCCGGTGGGATGCGGTGCTGCAGTGAGGACTGGGTGTGCTTAGATGTCCGGAGTTCCACGCGGGGGTAGCACACGCGGGCCTTGGAGGGCGCTGAGACGCGGTGTTCCCACTCTGCCTTAGAGCAGTTGGAAGCACCATTCCGACTCCTGTAGACAAAGCCCTTGAGATTCGTAATCAGGTGGTGATTCATGATTCATGGTCATGGACAGTACTGCTCCCACCTGTAAGAGACCCAGGAAGGGGTCGATGGGTGCGAAGGGGCTGGAGGCTGCAAGCTGGGGGCTCAGGCAGCCCTGGATGAGCGGTGGGGTAGGACTGAAGGCCTCAGACTGGACTTTGTGGCTGGGGACTGAGTTCGAGCCCTAGCTCTGCCTCTTTCTAATGGTGTGGATTAGGGCCAGTCACCTAACTCATGTTCTCTGGGTCGAGTATTGAGCTGGACGTCTGGCACTTTAGCTTTCTACCCAGTAAAGTAGAAAACGTTACTGGTGAAATGACCATTTAAAGCTAAACATAGGAAAATACATTTGAACATCATAATTTCAGAATCGCTGTTTTTTTTTTTTTTTTTTTTTTTTTTTTAACAGAGTCTCACTCTGTCACCCAGGCTGGAGTGCAGTAGCACAATCTTGGCTCACTGCAACCTCCACCTCCCAGGTTCAAGCGATTCTCCTGCCTTAACCTCCTGAGTATCTGGGATTACCGGCGCACACTACCACGCCTGGCTAATTTTTGTATTTGGAACATCAGCAAGACATTGGATTTATAATAGAGATGGGGTTTCTCTATGTTGGCCAGGCTGGTCTCGAACTCCTGACCTCAGGTGATCCACCCGCCTTGGCCTCCCAAATTGCTGGGAATACAGGCATGAGGCATCGCACCTGGCCAAGATTCCCTTCATCTTAATTTTTAGCAATATTTAATAAGCAGTGACTTGGAATCCTTCAGCTTTTACTTTCTCCCTCTGCTGAGCATTTAAAGATCTATAAACATACACAGAAGAAGCTGCTTCTTACAGGGATCCTTTTGTAACCTGGGGAATCCTTTTGTTATAAGGATAATTTCACCCTCTAATTTGGTGCAGTAAGAAAATAAATGGTAAGCATGATTACATTTAATCATGTAAAATACTGCCCAGTGTGGGGGAGGGGATGCTTACTCACACAGAAGTCCTTTCATTCACACTCTGCTGTGTCGTGTGTTTCTGTGACCGGTGTCCAGGTGTCCCGTCATTCCAAGCACTCTCCTCCCAGAAAGCCATTGTGTGGCCCAAAAGAGAGCATCTGAAAATGATTTTTAGACAAAGGCTAGACAGGTTGAGGATTGTAACTAGGTCAGTGACTTCCTGGGGTCCCTCAACATCAGGACATGCTGGAGATAGAGGGCTCTAACTGTGGGGGCCCATTGAGAAGGGAGAGGACTTGCCCAAAATGAAGACATTACTGAGGCAGCTGGGGGTCAAATGACCTTTGAGATTTCATTATTCTGGCCTGCCCATAGTTCAAACTTTGGCACTAGTTTTCATGGAAAATGCTGTCTGCCTCAGCCATGAGACTTCTTTCACTGTCTGCGCCCAGCTGAGCCAAACCCAGCTCCTGAACACAGGTGGGCCACGCCACCCCGTGGCTCAGAGATAGGGTGTCCATGTCTCCCAATCTCCCAATTTGCCTGTGACACTCCTATTTATGCCTGTTGCATTTTTTTTTTTTTTTTTTTGAGACAGAGTTTTGCTCTGTCGCCCAGGCTGGAGTGCAGTGGCGCGATCTCGGCTCACTGCAAGCTCCACCTCCCGGGTTCATGCCATTCTGCTGCCTCAGCCTCAAGAGTAGTTGGGACTACAGGAGCCCACCACCATGCCTGAGTAATTTTTTTTGTATTTTTTTTTTTTTTAGTAGAGACGGGGTTTCACCATGTTAGTCAGGATGATCTCGATCTCCTGACCTCGTGATCCGCCGGCCTCGGCCTCCCAAAGTGCTGGGATTACAGGCGTGAACCACCGCGCCCTGCTGCCTGTTGTCATTATTAATACTACCCCGTTCACTCTCCAAAGTGCCCCAGTTTGAGTGATAAATTATTTGATCTCCTTGTTCAGAATCCTTTCTGCTATTCTCTCAACAGTTTGCAAGATTTGGCAGCCAAGATTTGGAGAGCAAGGTTCCAGGGACAGGACACTGGTTCCTAAAAAGGTAAAAGGAAGGGGGAGTGCAGGAAGGGTCTCAAGCATTCAACGCAGTGTGGGAAAGACCCAGGAGGCAATAATGCCTGCTCTGGTTCTCTTCCACCTTCATGGTCACCCTCATTTGTTGAGCTCCTGCATTGCCTCTCTAGGTAGCAGGAATCCAGATACATAAAAGGCAGTGCACTGATCTCGGCCTGTGATTAGGAGGAAATCGAAAATTCATCCCACCTAAGGAACATTTACTGATGCTCTGCCTGGGGCTAGGAATCTAATAAGGACTTTAGAGAGTAAATAAAGAATTATAATAGAGTGAGGGAATGCTGTGAGGTAAGCTGAAGGTGTCACAGGAGCCCAAAGGAAGACCTTGCTCACTTCCTGTAAAGAGGTAGGATGGGTAATTGGAAAGATGTCACCAAGGAGATTTGTGAGCCTGGCTCTGCAGACAAGACAAGGTATCAGGTATCTCCAAGTGGGGGCGGGGAATTCTCAGCTTTCAAGAGCCAAACAGCCATGATTAGAAGCATGTGTTAGCCAGCAGCAGAGATCCAGGCAGGCAGATGAGGACGATGAATTACTTCCCCAAGGGTGGGGCTGGTGCTCCTTCAAGCCCTCCCTCTTAGGGCCAGCTTGTGCCAAGACCTGAGTGGGGGTTGGAGCTGAAGGTCAGCAGCAACCATATGGCCTGCAGAAGAGAAGGGGTAGGACTGAGTCAGATACACATTTATCTGATATCAGATCAATTTTCCGGGGGGGCAGCGTGGAAATAAGGGCACAGTGTGTCAAGGCAGAGAAGCAGAAAACATAGGCAGGCCCCCAAAGCACTGGTTTATGCCTGACCACAGGGAAAGGTTTAGAAACAGGCCCTCTCTAGTCCACTCCTCCACCCCACTCCACCCACCATGATTTCTCCAGTGGCTGGCTCCACTTGGCAGTATGCCCCGAGGATCTGGATACTGAGGATGACTTAGGTTCCAGGGTCTGGCCAAGGTAACCCAGCACTTCAGCCTACATCTTCAGCATCACTGGGCAGGTTATTAAACACAAGATGGTAGGCCCACCCCTGAGTCTCTGATTCAGCAGGTCTGGAAGGGGGGCCCCCCAAATTATGCTTTAACAAGTTCCAGGTGATTCTAGTCCAGGTACCATGTTTTGAGAACCACCAAGGTAATCCGGGTCAGGTATCCTTGTTAACCAGGGGCCCTGGAGACGCTGCCTGGGGCTAAGACAAGGGCACTGGATTTGAAAGCTGAGGGCTCTGGTTGTGGGCTGGCTCAGGCTTCTCGGTTGCCACATGTATAAAAGGGTAATTCTGCATCTTAAATAAGACCTTAGATGTGAAAGGCCTTTGTCAACTGAGAGGTGAAATTTGATGTCAGTTTTTTCACATGCAAATCTAGGGCTGTAAAGTTTGCTCCTTTCTCCTAAAATAATTACGGCTGTGGTCTGAGGACCACACCTATATCAGGATCCTCTGGGAAGCTTCCTAGAATGCAGACTTTGCAGCTCTAAATCTTGATGTGTGTCTCATCATCACATTTACATTTTCAACACATCTTCAGTGATTCTTCTGCACCCCAAGGAATTTGAAAACCACTTGCTTACACTGGGGCGGTAAAGAGGGATGGAAAAAAGCTGTTCTTCCGTTTTCTGATTTGCTGTTGGGCCAGGAAGATCTCCCGCCCTCGTCCTGAAGTTTCCTTGCTGCCAGCATCCTTTGGGAACCTCTCGTCTCAGGAAGTCTGCGTGTCTGCCTCCTCATTTTCCTCCTGGCTCCCAGCTGCATGCAGGCGCCACCTCCTGGCAACATAGTTCTTTCACTCTTTTTCCCCTGTTGTGTTAATCAGATCCTCCCCACATTAAGCATTTAGAAAAAGAGCCTTTGTAATGTCAGAAAGAAATGTGATTCTCTTACATTTGAGGGGTTTCGATGCCTCCTTAAATGTCTTCACTTCTTGCGATTTTACTATTCCATTCTCTAAAAAACAACAATTAATAAATATATGTACTTTTAATTCTTAGTTTTAATTTTTTTTTTTTTCAGACAGTCTCCCTCGGTTGCCCAGGCTAGAGTGTAGTGGCATGATCTCAGCTCACTGCAACCTCCGCCTCCCAGCGTGCACCACCATGCACAGTTAGGTTTTTGTTTTTGTTTTTGTTTTTTTTTGTATTTTTAGTAGAGACGGGGTTTCACCATGTTGGCCAGGCTGGTCTCAAACTCCTGACCACAGGTGATCTGCCTGTCTCGGCCTCCCAAAGTGCTGGGACTACAGGTATGAGCCAGCATGCCTGGCCTTAGTTTTAATTTTTAATACAGTAAATATCAACAGATACATCTCACATAAACAAAAACATTTTGGGGCTATGTGTGTGTGTGTATTTTTTAATTCTAAGTGCTAACCTTAAATAATTCTCCTCTGGGCCAGATGTGGTGGCTCACACCTGTAATTCCAACACTTTGGGAGGCTGAAGCAAGAGGATCGTTGGAGGCCAGGAGCTTGAGACCAGCCTGGACAAGACCCAGTTTCCACACACACACAAAAGAAAAAATTAGTCTGGCATGGTGGCAAGCACCTGTGGTCCCAGCTATTTGAGAGGCTGAAGAGGGAGGATCACTTGAGCACAGGACATGAAGGCTGCAGTGAGCTATGATCACACCACTGCACTCCAGCCTGGGTGACAGAGTAAGACCCTGTCTCTAAAAACAACAACAATAATAGTCCTCTGTATATTTTAAGAGAACAAAGAGATTCTAAGACCAAAGAGTTTGCGAGTCACTGACTTATATATTTATAAAATGGAAACAAAAGTCTCACACTACAATAGTCATCCTTATATCATATGATGCACCCTGAGGCTTTCCTTTCTATTCCCTTTTATTTCATCCGTTTAAAAGTACTGGTCCTGGCCATGAAAAGTTCATTTGCAACAGCTTAAAAAGCAATCAACCAAAGTATGGGAACACTATGTAATTTTCTGGGGTCCACTTTTTATTTAAGTTAAATGTTGTTATTTAAATTTAAAAAGTGCCTAAGGCCACATTAGCTTTAGGATCATGTTCTTTCTTCTAAACAGAGCTGAATTTACCATGCAGTCAGTGAAGCTCAGGTTCAAGGCTCCTGACTTTCACAGGCCCCTCCTGGACCCTCTACCTATTTTTTACCTATAATTTGGCATTCTTTTCTAAAAGATCTGTATCTGTAATCTGTATAAAGTTCAGGCCCCACAAAAACCAGATCCACACTTGCTACTAAACCATATTTTTTCTGTATATAAGCTGGAATGTATTAAAATAATGTAGTTTTTGCTTGCTTTTCTAATTAGAAACAATGGTAGTTAATAGTCAATCTTTTTTCTCATTGAAAAGAGCTACTGGTTTGCATTAGGTCTCTTTGGTTGAGGAAAGAAACCCACGAGTTAGTTATATTTCAAGGAAAAGGGAGCTGACTTTAAGGACACGTGTGCGCTGGAACTACAGAATCATCCAGAACCAGTCTATTCCTTTCCCCCAGTGGTCACAGGCTCTCTTGCTCACAGCCTCTCTGCTGCTTTCTTGTGAATCTGTCCACTCTGTCCTCCTCCCTTTATGGCTAAGCCTCTTCATACTCACGCATTGCACATGGCCCACAGGAGCCTTTTGCTGGCTCTCATGGCAAAATAGCCCAGTCTCCCTCTATTTCCTAACTACCAGTTCCTCAATGAGGAATTTGGCTCAGCTCATGTTTCTAAGACATGCCACATCATAGATTGTTGGTCAATCTGACATGGGCCATGCTTGGATCAAGTGCCCAATAAGCCACAGCTATGGAGAACAGGGTCGTGTGGTACCAACCTTAGTCTGTAGACAGAGCCTTATCCCTTAGAAGGGGGTAGTCAGCAACAAGCTCAGCAAACCATCAAACTGATCTGAATTCAAACTTTGAGTTTTTGTTCCATATATTTAGTTGGATTTAATATTAATTTATTTTTTTTTTCAAGAACCAGTCTCACTATGTTGCCCAGGCTGGAGTGCAGTGGCTATTCACAGGCACCATCATAGCTCACTGCAGCCTTGAACTCCTGGGCTCAAATGATCCTCCTACCTCAGTCTCCAGGGGCTGGGACTACAGATGTGTGGGCCATCACATCTGGCCTGGTGGTTTCCACTTAAAAACTTATCTCTTTTTTGCTTTAATTTTCTTATTTTTTAATTAATTATTTTTTATCGAGAGACAGGGTCTTGCTATATTGCCCAGGCTGGTCTCAAACTCCTGGGCTCAAGTGATCCTCCCACTCAGCCTCCCAAAGTGCTAGGATTACAGGCATGAGCCACCACACCCGGCCAGAACCTATTTTTCCCTCTCTTTTTCTTTTTAATATATGTAGAGACGAGGTCTTGCTATGTTGCCCAGGCTGGTCTCGAACTCCTGTACTCAAGTGATTCTTACACCTCGGCCTCCCACAGTGCTGGGATTACAAGCATGAGCCACCGTGCCCAGCTTGCCAAAACCTATTTCTTTTGGGGCATATTGGTCTTTCTACTGCCTGCCTTTCAGATTTCTTGCTAATCACTGGAAATTTGATGCAAGTCAAGGATTTTAAAGAAATATGTGCTGCTTTGTCACTCTAAAAGAATGAATAAGAAAAAAAATCAATAGTACATGCAAATACGAAGCTTATTATGATATATTTAGCTGCTGGAGAGCTTGAGTTTAATCTTGGCCTTTAACTTATGAGGAGGATGCACAAACTCACTGTGTGAGTCATTTCCAAAATGTCTCCAATTCTTTTGTCCTTTGGTGACATCATAGGATTCTCTGAAAGCTTGGCATGATGTACACCACTCCACATATCACGCACAAGCAAGCCTAGGATGGACCTGGCACTATTATGTTTTATAGCTGATCTCAGGCAAATTTTTCAGGTATCACCCCCACCTTGAAAGTAGGCAATGTAAGATTGCTACAGCCCACTTTTCCTCTGTAGCAGCCAACCCTGTGGGGCAGTGGCTCTTTAAGTGTGCTTCTAGGGTCCTCAGCATCTGAACCACCTTGGAACTTACTCGGAATGCAAATTCTCTGGTTTTCCCCCAGATCTACTGAATCAGAAACTCTGGGAGAATGGTCTAGCAATTTGGCTTAACAAGTCCTCCAGGCTATTCTGATGCAGGCAAGGGTTTGAGTACCATCATTTAGGGCTTGCTTTTCAAAGTGTTAGGATATGCAACATACACCCAATACTTGATGGGATTACAAGAGTCTCTAGCCTGCACCATGAAACTCATGTCCATGCCTTTATTCAGGTTATTCCTCTAACTAGAATACTCTTTCTCCAACAGACTCACCTGTTGGGATCTTGTCCATTTTTTTCAAAGCCAAACCAGTCCAAAACCTACTTCCTCTAAAATGTTTCTCCTAATCTGCCCATCTCTCTGGAACATGGTATCTGTCTTTCAAAGGGTGCTCAATATAGAACAGGCTGTTATCTAGAAAGTCAGAAGTTGGAAAGTTAGGTAAAAATCATTTGGAATGAGTGTAGTGGGCTGTCTTCCATAATGACTACTAATTGATGCTTCAGGATGGACCTTTCCTTTGTTCTCTATCATCAAGTCATGCATGTTCCTGATCCAGGCTGGAATTGCTGCCTCCCCTGGAATGTGTTTCCTTGAGATCAAGAATCAGCAAACTATGGTCCGTGGGTCAAATGCAACCCACAGGCTATTTTGTACAGCTTCTGAGCTCACAATATTTTTTACAGTTTTTAATGGTTGGGGAAAAAAAGAAAAATAATATTTTGTGATACGTGAAAATTACATGAAATTCAAATTCTACCACTCATAAATAAGAGATCATTGGAACACAGCCACACTTATTTATGTTGTCTGTGTCTGGCTTCCTGCTACGAGGACGGAGTTGAGTAACTGCGACAGAGATTGTATGGCCAACAAAGCCAAAAATGTTTACTGTCTGGCTCCTTGCAGAAAAAGTTTGCCAACCCCTACTCTAGGTGACCTCATGTTTCACTCCCTCACTTTGTTCAGGTCTCGATCAAATGTCACCATGGTGGGGAGAGGTCTTCCCTGATCTTCCTACCTAAACAGAACATGTTCCCCCCACCTGCTCTTTGCACTGTTATGTTACATTGCATGATTTTTCTTTGTGGCACTTATCCTCAGCTGATGTTATAGAGATATTGTTTATTATGTGTCTCTCCTCATAAGATCCAGCTTCATGAAATCAGGGCCTTTGTTTTGGCTCATCTCCTTTTTTTACTTTTTTAATTTTAATGGGAACCTAGAGAAAATACTCCCTTTAAAAAATATATATTTTTATTTATTTAGTTTTTGAAACAGGGTCTCACTCGGTCACCCAGGCTGGAGTACAGTAGTGCGATCACAGCTCACTTTAGCCTTCACCTCCTGGGCTCAGATGATCCTCCAACCTCAGCCTCCTGAGTAGCTGGGACTACAGGTGTGCACCACCACGGCCAGCCAATTTTGTATTTTTGGTAGAGACAGATTTTTGCTATGTTGCCCAGGCTGATCTCAAACTCCTGAGCTCAAGGGATCCATCCGCCCTCCTCAGTCTCCCAAATTGCTGGGATTACAGGCATGAGCAAACACACCTAGCCAATGTTTTGGCTCATTTCCACATGCTCACAGGCTCTCAGTAAACATTCCAATGAATGAATGAATGAATATTCTCTAATAAGAGTATTTCTAAGACCTTCTCTAGTGGTTAAATTATTTTACTTTGATTTGGTGAGGGACAAGGAGCTGATTGAGTGTACTATCTAGACTAAGTTACATTAACAGAGATAGAGTTATTGTTTGGCTTTTACAAAATAATGAATATGCATTGTGAAATATTTCTTAATTAAAAGACCTGGAGGCCAAGCATTCAGACTTAGAGGCCATAAATCAAAAATCATTCTTCTGCCAGGTGAGGTGACTCATGCCTGTAATCCGAGCACTTTGGGAGGTTGAAGCGGGTGGATCACTTGGGGTCAGTAGTTCAAGACCAGCCTGGCTAACATAGTGAAAGCCCACCTCGACTAAAAATACAAAAATTAGCTAAGCCTGGTGGTGGGCGCCTATAATACCAGCTACTCGGGGGGCAGAGGGGGAGAATTGCGTGAACCTGGGAGGAGGAAGTTGCAGTAAGCCAAGATTGCGCCATTGAACGCCAACCAGGGCAACAGAGAGAGACTCCATCTCAAAAAACAAAAACAAAAACAAAAACAAAAACAAAAAAATTTTTTTCTTCTGTTTTTCAATGACAGCATCCAGAGTTGCCAATTGGAATGTGGAAAATTGATTTTGACTGTTTGTTTTTTAAGAGAGCTTAGGGACTATTTTGTCCCATTCTGTTTCTGTTTTATTTCAAAATTCTTCTACATTTTAGTCCAATTTTATATATATAGAATGTAGGCAAAATATGGGTTCCAAGACATAATTGCTATTTACTTTGGGGCAAGGAGTTTTCTGGAAAAGTAGCCAGCATCACTCAAAAGCCTCTAATGACTTTCTCATACCCTCCCATTTCAAAGTCAGATGAGTTGTTTTTAAAGGAATAATTCATCTTCCTCTCCCCTCTTTTCTTTTATAAAGATTTGTCTCTCATAGTTTGTCCGTACAAGACTTTTAAAGAAACGGGCTTGAGTTTACCTTGTGCTGAGTGAACAGAGCACCTTTGCTAGGAATATGCCTTCTTTCACCTGTAGCAAACAAAACAGAAGAATGTATCTGAGGGATTGGTTCTATTACCACATTAAGGAAATTTATGCAAATGACTTTTATCTGGAAGAATCTAAATTATAATTTTACCAAGTTATGGTAGTTCTCTCAGGAAAACTCTCCTTTTGGGATTGTCAATATGGGGAGAATTATGACTTTTGTATTAAATCCTGAAGTATTTGCGGTGGCTCACGCCCATAATCGTAGCATTTTGGGAGCCTGAGGCGGGCAGATCACCTGAGGTCAGGAGTTCGAGACCACTTTGGCCAACATGGCAAAACCCCGTCTCTATTAAAAGTACAAAAACTAGCGGGGCATGGTGGCGTGTGCTTGTAATCCCAGCTACTCAGGAGGCTGAGACAGGAGAATCGCTTAAACCTTGCAGTGAGCCAAGATCGCACCACTGCACTCTAGCCTGGGCGACAGAGTAAGACTCTGTCTCAAAAATAAGTAAATAAATAAATAAATAAATTCTGAAGTATTTTTCTTGGATATCATAGTCTAAGCCCCACAAAGTATAAGTGGCGTGGCTGAGGTTACAGCTAGATGAAGATTCAGGGGTCCTGTCTCCACCAACAAGGCTCATTCCACCTCCCCTCGTACTTCAATACCTCCCTGCACTTTCCCAGTTTCAACTCACAGAAGGGAAAGCTTCCGGCAGGCCAGCACTGGGCCTCTTTTTGTTTAATAGTTGCCTAGTTGTCGAGTAAGGATGGAGACAGACTTAAATCATTAAGTGGGATTTCTGTTTTTAGACATTTGTGGTTCTGCTGAATAGAAAATTTAAAAACAGTGCATTCCTGCCTCAAGGAATGGTAGGACTTTCTGAGGCTTAACGACTAAGGTAAACAAACATGTGTGCTTCAAAGTACACTGAGCACTTAGGTTCAGTGAATGGTTTCTTAAATACACTTTGGATCTAATGTAAGAAATCAGTTTGTCCTGGTGCAGACATATCTGGGAGCATTAATTCTCCTGGGCTTAAACAAACTGCCCCAGAAGACAGTGCTGATAGCAGGAGACCATGACTGGCCTCAAATCTCTTAAGATGGCAATCGATCATTTAGAAGCTTTACAACCAGGAGAAAAATGAGCGTGAGAGGAAATGTGAAACGATGACACATCATCACTCTCCACTAGAACCCTCCAGTTTCTGAGAAAGATGGAAACTCCCTCATTGGAAAAGGCAGAAAAATAAACATGCTAACAATGAAAATTCTTAAGACTTTTTAAAAAAGAGAAACTGAGAGGAAAAATCATATCTAAGTTCTTCTAGAAAGATCATAATTTCAGAAAACTTATTGTTTGGAACAAAAACCTGGGTTTAAGATTACTTTATTTACTTGAGCACATTTAGTACATTTCAAGTGTCTGCCTTAGTACAGACTTTTCAGAAGTGGGATAAATGTACAATTTCCTGCTACCTAGAACTGCTGTGAGAATTAACTAAATTAAAAACCAAAAAATCATAGGCAGTAGATAGACTGAAGTCTTTCTCTTAAGAGTTGTACTATGGCTGGGTACAGTGGCTCATGCCTGTAATTTCAGCACTTTGGGAGGCCGAGACGGGAGGATTACTTGAGCCCAGCAGTTCAAGACCAGCCAGGGCAACATGGCAAAACCACAACTCTACAAAAAATAAAATAAAAAAAAATTAGCTGGGCATGCTGGTGCATGCTTGTAGTCCCAGCTACTAACTGAGGTGGAAGGATCACCTGAACCTGGAGAAGTTGAGGTTACAGTAAGCCATGATCTCACCACTGCACTCCAGCCTGCTGGGCAACAGAGTGAGACCCTGCCTCAAATGAAAAAAAAAAGTCGTGCTATGAATTAAAAAAAAGAAACTAAAATATTTACTGCGTGAAAGTGAAAGAATTAGGTTGGAGTCTGCCTGTGCTCTAGTTCGAATTTCACTGTCTCTCTTTAGCCAAGCATCAGAGGCATTTGTTGTTTTGTTGTATAGATGCATGTTGGGCATCCATGAACCACCTTATTGGATATTGGTGGTGGTTGTTTTCACTCAGCTCTATTCTGTAGAAACAGTACCCCAATTTTGCTTTGGGGAATCACCCTCCCTGTCTGACCTCACTTGTTTCAGGTGAACCTAAATCCATCTACGGGCTCCTAGGGAGTAGAAAGTGAGTGAGGCTAAGTTCATCAGCAAACCTCTTTCCCCATAGTCATTGGTTCAGGAGAAAATGCATGACTCAAATTAAACCCAATCAGAGTATTAAAAACTTAATTGTTGGTGGGAAATGCCAAATGCCCCTTATGGAGGGGAATCCAGCAATCTCTAAAGAGAAACGATAATAGAATGCAATTAATAATCTGTGGTTTTCTTTTCCTATAAAAGATATTATTGGGACAGTGGGTGAAGTTTAAGATATGTAGATTAGTTGATATTATTGTATCATGTTGAGTTTAATAATTTTTATTGTGGTTAATGTTCTTACTTTAGGTAACACTGAAGTATTTACATATGTAGGGTCATCATGTCTGCAACTCATTTGCCCATGGTTCAGAAACAATTACATTACACACACACACACACACACACACATAACAGATAATACATATAGAAAGTAGGAGGGCAAGAGAAAGAATGACAAAGCAAATGGGCTAAAAATTTAATAACTGGGGAACTTGAGTAAAGGGTATGTAGCAATTCTTTATACTGTTCCCAAAACTCTTCCATAAATCTTTATTATGTTGTAAACCCAGAAAATCTGAGATAGGTCTCAGTTAATTTAGAAAGTTTATTTTGCCAAGTTTGAGGATGCACCCATGACACAGCCTCAGAAGTCCTGATGACATGTGCCCAAGGTGATCAGGGCACAGCTTGGTTTTATACATTTTAGGGAGACATGAGACTTCAATCAATATATGTAAGAAGTACATTGGTTCAATCTGGAAAGGCGGGAAAACTCAAAGCAAAGGGAGGAAAAGCAGTAAGTGGCTTCCAGGTCACAGATAGGTGAGAGACAAAGGTTTCTTTCTTTTGAGTTTCTGATTAGCCTTTCCAAAGGAAGCTATAAGATATGCATTTATCTCAATAAACAGAGGGGTAACATTCAATAGAATGGGAGGAAGGTTTGCCCTAAGCAGTTCCCAGCTGCTTTTTCCCTTTAGCTTAGTGACTTTGGGGGCCCAAGATATTTTCCTTTCACATTCCCCCCTTTTCTTTTTAAAAATATTTTGGAAAAAGTGTTTTAGAAGAAAATTAGCCTCTGGTCCTAGGATTTGTTTGATCTCTCATGGCTAGGATGATTTATTCCTGTAAGGTAGATCCAGAGTTATTAGGAAAGCTCATTTTTAGAAGGTTGTGAAGTCTCATGCCCTACAAAGAAAAAATAGGGGGAGGAAGGGAGAAAAACAAAAATAAACAAAAGAACAATCCTGAAAATCGATATAGGCCACATTACTCTGAAGTCTATACATCTGTAGGCAGGTATGAAAGTGGCTTATATATGTCAATAGGTTGCTGTTATTTTCTTCTGAAGTTTAAGTTGTCTAGTTTCAGTTCACAGGACTTTACAAAAGCACAGCTTAGTTTTCAGTGACTCCAAATTAAGAAACATGTGGGGAAAAAAACATGAAAAAATTGAAAACATTATTTTGAGACTTATAGCCAAGAAAACATTAGAATTCTTTCCAAACTGTAGAAAATACTAAAAATTTTAAAACATTGGCCAAGACTAGAATCTAACAACAGGTGTACTATAGTTTTTGAAACATAATTTTTCTCACTTCAGTTTTTCATTTTTGCTGAAGACAATTCATGGTAGGACTGCCTTACTTTATTATATTGGCCTAATTATTTGTATGCAGTACAGCAATAATAATTATTTTTTACATAGGTTTCTAAAATGGCTTTGATGGAACTTTGTTACCTAGAAGGAATCTCAGATAAGACTTTTTTAAACCTGAGCCCAGTCAAGGATTTGTGCCATCAAATACCTATGAGTTTGGTGAATTTCCTCTCCTCTTGAGGTTCCAAGATAAACCTGGGGCTTCTGGGCCTGTCAGAAAGTGACATTCTTTAGTTACCACGGATCAGAAACCCTGTACAGGGACTGTGTACACAAAATATGAGACCAGTTTTTCCAAGGTCGTTCTTGGCTCCATAAGTCAAGTTTGATTCTTTAAAGGAAAGTACACCATTCCAGTCAAATCCTAGGTAAAATAACCAGTTTCTCCAATTGTGTCCTGTTACAAATGAAAATAGATTCTTACTGCACTTATGCAAATAACTGTATTGCCATAAGTTAAGAATACTCACAAATGGTTCCCAAATACTGGAGAAATCAGGTAGAGAGAAACAAATATGCTCTAAATTTTGTTCATAGGAATATACTAAATTGTTAAAGGTTGTCAATGGCTCAAAAGAAAAGTTCCAAGACTCTGAAAAACAAAACAAAGGATCAACAACATTTTAAGCAAAAAGTCAAAAAGATTAGTTCAGTCCATGCAGTTCTTCCCTATTCTGCTTATACTCATGAACATTTTAGCTTTCAATGAGTCCTGAAAGTTTTTCCTCTATTTTGATGTCACAATCTCCAAAGTTATCAGAAACCTCCATTCAAGAGCACCTGTTAGAGTTTTATAGCTGATTATAAAACCACCTTCTAAAGAGGACCAAAACAAGACAACAATTGTCTGTGGATGACAAAAATTTTAGGGCAGCCATAATCAAAGACACAATTGACAAGGAAATTTGTTACATCTGTGGCACACAATAATTTTAACATAAGAATTATGATTATCACTGATAATGTACACTAAGTCATATCAGAATTATAGGAGTTTCCCATAATTTTGGAGCACATACCAATAACATATTTATACAAATACAACCCAAAGAAAACCAAACACCATTTCATATTTGACAATGCTTCCTGTATTATTTTTATATCAAATAAGCCAAATTATGTCATTTTTGGATTTTAGAGACTCTACTATCTTAAAGGATTAATTAAGTCAAAAAAAGACATAATTTATAATTTGATGTTGGAAAGTTTGTCAAATATAAAAGGTTTAAAATACTTGATATAACAAAATAGGATTACAGGTCATTGCAAATTCATTCACTTAACCAAAGTGGTATGATTTGGCTGTGCCACCTCCCATGTATTGTGGGAGGGACCTGGTGGGAGGTAAATGAGTCATGGGGGCAGGTTTTTCCAATGCTGTTCTCATGACAGTGAATAAGTCTCACAATATCTGATGGTTTTAAAAATGGGAGTTTCCCTGCACAAGCTCTTTTCTCTTGTTTGTTGCCACATGAGATGTGCCTTTCGCCTTCCACCATGATTGTGAGGCCTCCCCAGCCACATGGAACTCTAAGTCCAATAAACCTCTTTCTTTTGTGAATGTCCCAGTCTTGGGTATGTCTTTATCAGCAGTGTGAAAATGGACAAATACACAAAGTGATAACTCAAGGATTTCAAAAAAACAGTGAAAGCCTTCATTCTATGAGAGAGGAGACTTAATTTTCCAAACAAGAAGCTCTAATAAAAACAGCATGAAGCCAATTAAATTTGTTTTTTAAAATTTTGTAAACAAGCTATAAAATTTTAGTTTTGATCATATGATATAATTTCCATAAGCCTTTTATAACCTTTATTAAGGAGTTGGTTAATGCTTTAAGAAAACCTTGTTTATCTGACACAGGGGTCCATATGTTGGTCTTGCATCAGTGTGCATTTGGCATTAATGATTAATTTATAGAGAAACTGAACTTATTTTAGCTCTTAAAATCGGTCCTTAAAATCTCACCTGTCCACTTCTTCTGCAATGGTCCCTGGGCCTTGAGGAGTTATTGGCTTTAATTTCTGGCCTTGTGTTAGGAATGCAGTTTATTTTTATTGGCACCTTCTATGGGCCTGAAGATGAGGTTTTAATTTCTGTCAGTGTTTAAGATTTAGCAGGACTTGACATCCTTTTACATCCAGGAGGTTACATACTGTAACATAATGTTACAAAAACTTTAAAAACGCATACAGGAAGTTACATGAGTGTAATAACATTAATTAAAAAATTTTTTACCTCATTTTTTCCCTGACCAAACCAAAACTTAATAATAATATGACAACTTGATTATATAAAAGTTTTTTGAGTTTTTTAACATATATAAATCCTCTTATTGTGACTTACACCAACCATTCATGACATGCTTGGACTTTCTGGTTTGTCCTGAACATCCCTTCTTCTTAAACAACCATTTTATTTTAGGATTAAATTTACCATATAAGATTTTTTCTTATATAAAATTATTTAAGTTATTTCTCTTTAAGCTTTTACCTTGTTTTATACCTTTAAAGAAGCTTTGAATGAGACAAAACTTGTTCACCTTTTAAAGAAAGGACACACTTTTTTTTTCTTTTTAGCAATAATGTTTTCCTACAATATGTAGTTATTTGAAAACACCCAAATAATGAAACATCTATTATTTAATTTAATATAACTTTATTTTTTTATTTTTATTTATTTTTTGAGACAGAGTCTTGCTCTGTCACCCAAGCTGGAGTGCAGTGGTGCAATCTCAGCTCAGTGCAATCTCTGCCTCCCGGGTTCAAGCAATTTTCCTACCTCAGCCTCCAGAGTAGCTATGATTACAAGTATGTGCCACCACACCTGGCTAATTTTTGTATTTTTAGTAGAGACAGAATTTTGCCATGTTGGTCAGGCTGGTCTTGAAGTCCTGATCTCAAGTAATCTGCTCACCTCAGCCTCTCAAAGTGCTGGGATTACAGAGGTGAGCCACCATGACTGGCCTAATTTAATATAACTTTAGATTCTAAATTATTAAAGTTTGTTTACAAGTTTTATCCCATTACATTTACCTAATTATTTTAATTGTTCACCTAGCTTATTTATGAAAACTGAGATAGTCATGATTTAAAGTTATGAAACCACCATTGCAAAATTATAACTAAAATAGTGAAAAAAGACATGACCTAACTTGACTCCATCTTGCTTCTAATCTCCAAGCTGTCCTAGTTCATTCCTGGACTTTGGGAGGAACTTAGTTTATAGTTTAGTTTTGAAACAAAGATCATAACAGTCCTTTCACAAAACAGGCCTCCTTACTGCTTGTGAACTAGCCTGCCTAAAGCCACAAAATCAGAAGTTATAATAATCTTACTAAATTTAAGATGCAGCTATTTTCACTAAACCAATGTCAACGTCCTATTTATTAAAAATTACACAAGCAGGACAGGCATAGTGGCTCACACCTGTAATCCCAGTGTTTTGGGAGGCTGAGACAGGCAAATCACCAGGAGTTTGAGAGCAGCCTGGCCCAATATGGTGAGACCCTGTCTCTACTAAAAATACAAAAAAAAAAAAAAAAAAAAACCTGGTGTGGTGGTGGGCGCTCTAGTCCCAGCTACTCTGGAGGCTGAGGCAGGAGAATCACTTGAGCCCAGGAGGCGGAGGTTGCAGTGAGCTGAGATTGCACCACTGAACTCCAGCCTGGGTGACACAGCATGACTTCATCTTAAAAAAAAAATTACACAAGCAAAGATCATTCTGTTTTGAGCTGGGTTCGTAGTTTTGTAACCCTTACGTCAAATTTTGACACCTTATAGTATTTGGCAGCGATAACTATGAAATTGCTTGATTAACACATGTAAAAAAAATATGCTGGCAATTCTAAGACATTTCTAATATAACTTTACCAATAATTTTAAAGCTAGTTTATTTATTAAAGATTTTACTTAAGTTACATAAGCTTGTAAAAGCATTTGACTAGTCTTTTCTTTTTTCCTGATAAAATATTTCATTTAAAAGCTTTTATTTTTCCTTAAGACAATTAATTAGATCTCTTTTATGTATTTGTAGTAGTGAAACATTGTGTATACAACACATAAATACATAGACATATTAGGCATGCTGATGGAAGTATATTTTACAGATTCATAAAGAATCTCCCTTTTTTTTTTCCTATCTTAGATTTTCAGATTTTTTTTTTTTTTTTTTTTTTTTTTTTTTTTTACTCACTGCAAACTCTTGCCTCATACTGCCCAGGCTGGAGTGCAGTGGCATGATCTTGGCTCACTGCAACCACCATCTCCCAGGTTCAAGCGATTCTCCCATTTCAGCCTCCCAAGTAGGTGGGATTACAGGCACCCACCATCATGTCAAGCTAATTTTTGTGTTTTAGTGGAGGTGTGGTTTTACTATGTTGGCCAGGGTTGTCTTGAACTCCTGGCCTTAAGTGATCCACCCCCCCTCGGCCTCCCAAAGTGGTAGGATTACAGGCGTGAGCCACTGTGCCCAGATTCTTGATTACTTGCTTTACAAACCTAGAGAGTTGTCAGCTAAATATCCTTAAATTTGCATATTAAAGGAAACAAATCAAGAGAAAATCAAATAGCAAAATTTACATCATAAGGTACAGAGAGAAATAATCTCATGGTGCTGGTGGGAGATGCTTTTATTTTTCTTTGAACCAAATCAAACATAAAATTATAGAAATCTATCATAGGATTATATAAGGAGAACAATTTTGTTTAGATAGGGACTATCTATCTTTTAACTGGATCTCTGAGCTCTGGGCAGAGCCCACACTGAAATCTAGGATCTTCAAAAAAAATGGGAGAAACCTGTTGCAATAACTATTCTAGTCAAAAAAAAAAAAAAAAAAAAGACAAAAACAAAAAAACAAAACAAAAAAAACAGGTGAAAACATAACTCAGTCACCTGTGAAGAAAAAAAACTTTTGCTCAAAAAAAGACAAGGTACTAGGTGAGAAAAACATGAAGGCCTTTTAAATACAAACATGCACACATACACACACGCATCTTGGATGTTACCCTTTAAATAAGCTGACTTTTAACCATTGCGCCCCTTTAAAAAAATCCTTTAAATTTTCATTACCATATTTCAGCTAGGACAAAATGCTGCTTTTTCAGAAGCACAGCCATTGCTCTTTCAGTTTGGTCTGGCTGGCAAAAAGGTGGCCTTGCTATGTAAATTATGCCCCTTTAGTAGTCAAAATAAAAAAATCTTTCCTCTTTTTTTTTCTTTTGCTGACCATTTTCTTCCTCCTTCAGAGGCCTTGTTCTCCACAATTTAGAGTTCCTCTTCAGATTTGACCAAGTCAGAACGTGTGTCAGACCCACAATGTATAGCTTGCAGACCTAGCTTTTCAGGGACCATTACCCCTTGAACGAGTTCAGTCCACCTGTGTCGCAGCTACCTGGCACAGTGTGTCAGGGGCTCAAGGTATGGGAAGGGTCAGCTCCTGATATGCTCCTGCCAGCTGAGATTAGATCCTAAGTATATTCTTCTGAGGGGGAAACTTTTTTAGAGCCACTGCACATCTTAAGGAGCATTCCTCCCAGGCACATTCACATAATTCTCAGTTGCCTGAGAATGCCCTGAAAGGCTGAGGGGAGCAAGGTGCTCTTATTTCTTTGGAGTGGAGGATTCTACATTCATGAGTTAGAGGGTCTGGAGGATTCCACGCTCATGAACTAGAGGGTTGGTCAAATTTGATAGGGGAAAGGACGAACACACACACACTAAAGAAACCCAATAAGACAGAAACAAACAAAAAAACAGTTAAGCAAAACTAACAATGATCACACAAATTATACAATTTCTGAGTGTCAAAGATGACAAATTCCTCTTCAAAAGGTTTTAGTTTCCTGTTCCTCTGGTTGTTTGTTTCTCTACTTTCTATAGTTACCCATGCTGAGAGTTGTAAACAACTCTTCCCGCCCTTGCCACACCCTGACATGCCCTGACAAGCCTAGACATGCCTTGCACCATAATGGATAGCCTTCCCCTTCCAGCCTAGATAGCTGTGTTCAATTTCAAACATTAGCCAATCGGGTCAGTTTAGACTGTGGGGTCCAACCCACAGGAGAAAGGACACAGGAGTAGGAACATATTGCATTAGGGATAAAAACCCCTGCCCTACCCCACCTGGTGTGCTCTTGCAATCATGACTGGCGCAAGCTGCATCCTTCTGTAGAAGTAAATTTGCCGTGCTGAGAAAATTTCTATTTAAGTCCTATTTCTTCTGCATCACCGAAACTTGTTTCTAACAAATTTAGGGGCCCATTTGGGATACCTATTCTTCTCTGGGGAAGGGTCCAGTCCTCTCCCATGAGGAGCCATGCCCCACTGCCTCATTGCGGTGGCCTTGGGGGTAAGGAGTCAAGACCCAACCAGTGTGACAAATAAATCCAGACTCTCAGCAACACAAGAAGAAACAGAGCAACAACTTGGGGGGAAAAGATCATCACATGCCATGGTGACCAGCCAACTCTGTGCACAGAACAAGGTAAGAAATGCCATGGGGGTGACAAAGTATTTCCTTGGTGGTTGGGACATCTTGGAGGTTGAAAGTTGAAAGTGTGTGAATAAGTACTACTGGTGTGTAGAGTGAGTGAGTCCAATCTGCAGATCTGTGGTCACTTCATATGACTTATGGCAGCCTTTTGGCTCCCATCAGGAGTTTATACTGACCCACCAACGTTAAGAGGGACCTGACATTCCCTTCGGGGAAGTAGCCAGAGAGGATGAAATGAAAGGAAAAGAGTGCAAGAAGCCTCCACTGGGGGGATTGAGCCTCTAGAGAAAAGGAAGGTAGAGGCTAGGCGTGGTGGCTCATGCCTGTAATCCCAGCACTTTGGGAGGCTGAGGCAGGCAGATCATCAGGTCAGGAGATCAAGACCATCCTGGCTAACACGGTAAAACCCCATCTCTACTAAAAATACAAAAACAAAATTAGCCAGGCGTGGTGGCGGGTGCCTGTAGTCCCATCTACTTGGGAGGCTGAGGCAGGAGAATGGCGTGAACTTGGGAGGTGGAGCTTGCAGTGAGCAGAGATCCTGCCGCTGTACTCCAGCCTGGGTGACAGAGCGAGACTCTGAAAAAAAAAAGAGAGAGATTGAGAGAGAGAGAAAAGGAAGGCAGGAAATCCCTAATACAAGGGGTTGAGTCTCTAGAAGAAAGTAAAGGTGGGGGGGATTGAGCCTCACACAAACCTCCAGTAGTGGGGAAGGCAAAAAATTTCCACTAAGGGAAGTAGAGCCTCACCCCAAAACCATTGAGATGGGAAATACCCCAAGTAAGATAAGGAGTGAAAAGGATAAAGCTAACAGCAATAATATTCCCCTTGAGAGTCCCCTAGGTCTCATGTTAACGTATTGGAAAGATAATGAAAGGACTAAGTATAAGAAAAAGCAACAAATGATAAAATATTATTGTTTTATTTGGACCCAGGAACCAATCCTTAAACCCTCAGTTTTCTGACCAAACTTTGGGTCAAATGAGGATTGGATTTGTCAGCTTCTAATAGAACATGTTAATGACAAGAGTCCAGTTTCCCAAGAAGAGATAGATTATGCCTTGTGTTGGTGACAAGGACCTGTTCTTCTCTACTCCCTAAAACCTCAAAAAGGTAAGCATAAACCAGAGAATGTTTCCTCTAAGGAAACTGAAACTCTTAACCCCAAGCAGTCTATGACTTGGGACCCACTAGATCACCTTCCCCCACCAAACATCCCTAACTTTCCTCCCCCTCAAGCAGTTGCTGTCCCAGATCCTTGTCACTCCCCCGTTGCTTCCCCTCCTTATAACCCTCCCTCTTGGGAATCGTCCCAAGAGCCCACTCACTACCAGCCTAAGTACCCTTCCCTAAAGGGACTTTAACATGAAATAGAGCAATGAAAAAAAGATATTCAGAACTTCCCCTTCCCCTCTACCTCAGGGGAATCAGCTCCAGCTCTCTTCCCCTTGAGGGAGGTGCCCCTAGAAGGAGGTGGCATTGGCTTTGTAAATGCTGCTTTAACCAGCTCAGAAGTACAAAACCTATAAAGAGAGCTTAAGCCACTATTAGATGATTCTTATGGGGTAGCAAACCAAATTGACCAATTACTAGGACTACAGTTACATACTTGGGCTGAGCTAATGTCCATCCTAGGCATCCTCTTCTCAAGGGAAGAAAGAAGCATGATCTGTAGAGCTGCTATGGTAGTCTGAGAATGTGAACACCCTCCTGGCCAAAACGTTCCTGCAGCAGATCAAAAATTCACCACCAAAGACCCCCAGTGGGACAATAACAATGCAGTGCACTACATATGTAAGACCTTAGGGCAATGATAATAAAAGGGATTAAAGAATCAGTACCCCGAATCCAGAATCTTACCTGAGCATTTGATATACAGCAAGGGCAAGATGAAGGGCCTATAGAATTTTTAGACAGATTAAAGGATCAAATGAGAAAGTATGCTGGTCTAGATCCCGAGATCCTCTTGGATAAGGAATGTTAAAACTTCATTTTGTTAGTAACGGTTGGCCAGATATTTCAAAGAAGTTACAAAAGATGGAAAATTGGAAAGACCATCCTTTGGGGGTCTGTCCTGCAGACCCCAGCTCGCATGATGGATGAATAATGTACCCAGACACTGATATTCAGTGAAAGTGCCTCTAGGGATCCGAGTCACTCACAGACACCAAGGAAGGTGCTGTAAGGAGTCAGCAACCACAGCCCCAATTAGCTGTCCCTGTGGGCATTTATTGGGCACAGTTTTAATGAAAAAGGCTTTGAGTCAACACACCTGTGGGTAATTAATCTGGTCTCCCCCACCCCAGGAGATCTATCCTGCCCATGTTAGTCGTAGGACCACATGAGTAAACAAGCTCTTTAGATAAACTTCTCTACATTCCTATGTATCTGCGCCCTAAGCTCTCTGGCTCCTGAAAAGAGAATCTGGCTGCCTTCAGCCAAACTATCTGAAGCTATGCCAAACTTCCTTGCCTTCCAAGGTTTGCTTCTTTCTATTCCTATAATTTCTTCTGCCACTCTGACTGATCGCCCACACTGTCCCATGAGTGAACTTCTTAGGAAGGCTCAAAAAGTGTGTGTAAGAAGGGACAAAGAAAAACAAAAGCAGTAGGAAAAAATTCTTCTGTCCACCATACAACAAAGTACTCAGGGGGCCAGAACCTAAAAAGAGCCTAGGCCCCCACTTTCCAGGCCATATGAAGAGCACCAAAAAGCAAAGCCTGGGAACTTAAAATTAGGAAAGGAAGGAAGGATCTCTTTGAAGGCTATAATGCTTTGAAAACTGTTGGCAGTGTGGCATGACTGCTTAAAGCAGACAGAAGCTTGTCATTTTACCCCATCCCAGCATGATTGTGAAGCTGGCAAGGAAAGAGGAAGAAGGGCAAGTTCGGATGTAAGCTGGGTAGCTGGGACAGGTTGGTCAAGGGACCACTCTGGAGGACTCTTGTGCCCAGCGTTGTTCACTTCGGCCCAGCCACATGTTTACAGCAGCCAGAGGTCGTGCAAAAGTGTGACTGGCTTTGGTCAGGGTCTTCTAGCACCATCAGCACACTGCCGCCAGTAGCTCAGCTCCTCTCTGCCAGGCCAACTAAGAGTGCTTTGTCCTGGCTGGGACATAGGGGCTGAGAGAGATGGGGGGAGACGTAACACCCATGAATGAAAATACAGATTTAGAGAAGGAACCAGTAAGTAGGAGATAGAAGTTGAATATAAAAACCGATCAGCTAGTATGAAATTTCTGTTAATCCTGGAAGCAGGGGCAAATCTATTAGGAAGAGATTTAACGCTAAAATTAGGCTTAGGTCTTCAAATGAATCATGGAAAATTCCACCCCTCCCTAAACTTGCTCGCCACCGCCGACAAAGAACACATTCATCCCAAGATATGGTCAAAAGATGGGAATCGAGGAAAGTTATGGATTCCTCTGATTCATGTTAAATTAAAAATCCCTGTGGAAGTAGAAAGAGAAAGCAATACCCTATTCCTTTAGAAGGCAGAGAAAATTTAAAACATATAATTTAAGGTCTTCTCCGTGATGGGCTTCTTGAACCCTGTATGTCTCCCTATAACACTCCAATACTGCCTGTAAAGAAGCCAGACAGGTCATACTGGTTAGTGCAAGACCTTAGGGTTATTAATCAGATAGTCCACACTACACACCCTGTTGTTCCCAATCCTTATGCTGTTATCAGTAGGATCCCATACAGCCACGAGTTGTTTACAGTAGTACATTTAAAAGATGCCTTCTGGACTTATTTGTTAGCAGAGGACAGCTGGGACCTATTTGCCTTTGAGTGGGAAAACCCGCACTCAATTTCTCAAAAACTATATATTAGTTCTGTCTTCTGGCCTCTCCTTCCTTAGGACTCAAGGCATTCTAGCCCAGACTCCAACTCTTGAATTTCCAGTTCACCACCACCAGCCTGGAGATCATGTCCTCATCAGGAGTTGGAAAGAAGGGAAGCTCGAGCCCACTTGGGAAGGACCTTATTTAGTGCTCTTAACAACTGATACGGCAGTTTGGACTGCAGAGAAGGGCTGGACTCATCACACTCAAGTTAAGCAGGCACCACTCTTCCCAGAATCATGGTCCCTTGTTCCAGGACCAACTCTTACCAAGCTAAAGCTAAAGAGGGTTTAACTCTCCTATTCTGTATTTCTTTCCTCCCCCGACCCCATCACTAGTCTCCTTATCATTAATGTAACCAAGTCAAGCTCACCCCAAACTATTTATTACCTTTGAAGCTTGCTTTGTTATACCCTGTGGAGAGTTGACTTCAGAAAAGTATCTCCATCCTTCCTGGCTTTCCTCACACTGGGCATTTGTTAACCGGGATAAGTTAGTTCGGGAAGAGTTTGACGAAGACTCCAGTATGAACTGGGTATTTTGTTCTCTTAGAGAAGAGCTTCTCTGCCGAAGTTGGTCCAATGTTCTATGAAATACTAAAGAGCGAGGATGAACCACCCCAACTAGTACTTCCAGTTTCTTAAAACTATATATTCATTTTACTAAAGGAATTACCCCTCCCAATTGTCAGCTGAACCAATGTAATCCAGCACAGATCACCATCTCTGCTCCCCAGAGTTCTTCCCCTTCATTAAGCTGTTTCTATGGTATAGGAGCAGAAGTCTCAGGGAAGGACCCCGCAGGATCCTTTGAAATGCACTTCATTGCTTCCCTACCTCCTGCACCTGCTTCTCCCTCTCCTAAGTTCTCCACTAACCAAACCTTTTCTCATTATATACTCAATGATAAACCAAAAGTAGCTGTTGTAGAGGTTAAAGATTTAAAATAAATTACAGCAATTGAAACAGGGTATCAGGACACAAATGCTTGGCTGGAATGGACTAAATATTCTGTTCACATGCTAAACAAAAGTGACTGTTAATGCTTGTGTGACAGGCAGGCCAGAGACCCAAATTGTCCCCTTTCCACTCGTGAAGTGGACCTCTCACAGACCAGGCATGAGCTGTATGGTAGCTCTCTTCCAGAACCGAACAGTCTGGGGCGATGAGTCATGCAAGACTCTTTTACTGCTGTTCCCTGAGGTCAAGAGCCCTGCGGGTCAGCCCCCGAGGACCATCCGACCTCCAGCCCCTGATATTAACTTCACCTCATGCCTTTCATGGCCGGGGGACAAGTTAGCATTCCTTGGAGGCTTAACAGGGTGCAGTGAAACCAAGCCTTTTCAAGAACTTACCAATCAGTCTGCCCTTGTTCATCCCTGAGCAAATATGTGGTGGTATTGCGGGGGACTATTGCTGGGTACTCTGCCAAGTAACTGGAATGGCACTTACACTCTAATTCAATTGGTTATCCCTTTCACCTTGGCATTTCATCAACCAAGAAAGTTGAAAACAGAATATCGTAAAAAGGGAGATGTCTCACGGATCTTTTGATCCTCATGTTTATATAGATGCTATTGGAATATCACGAGGGGTACCATATGAATTGAAAGCCTGAAATCAAATAGCTGCAGGATTCGAGTCTATATTGTTCTGGTGGTCAACTGCAAACAAGAATGTAGCTTAGATAAATTATATCTTTTATAATCAACAACACTGTGTTAATTATACTAGAGATGCTATTAAAGGAATAGTTGAACAATTAGGCCCTACCAGCCAAATGGCCTGGGAAAATAGAATAGCCCTTGACATGATATTAGCTAAAAAAGGCGGGATTTTTGTCATGATTGGAGTCCAATGTTGTACTTTTATTCCTAATAACACCGCCCCCAATGGAACAATAACAAAAGCCTTACAAGGCCTTATCTCCTTATCAAATGAGTTAGCTAAAAATTCTGGAATAAATGACCCCTTTACAAGCCTCATGGAAAAATGGTTTGAGAAATGGAAAGGAATTATGACCTCAATATTCACCTCCCTTGTAATCGTTATATGTGTATTCTTGTATCATATCTTGTATTCGTGGTTTAGTGCAAAGACTTATAGAAAGACCTTCACCAGAACCTCCCTCAGTTCACCCCTGCCTTATTCAGATAAACTCTTCCTTCTAGACGCCCAAGAAGAACAACAGAGCCAAGATACGCTGAGGTGTTTTGAAGAGGAAAAACTATAAAATCAAGAGGAGGAAACTGTGAGAGATGATCAATTCCTCTTCAAAAGGTCTTAATTCCCTGTTCTTGTAGTTCTTTCTCTAGTTTCTATAGCTACCCATGTGGTAAATAATCCTTCCCACCCTTCCCACACCCTGACATACCCTGACAAGCCTAGACATGCCTTGCACCATAATGGATAGCCTTCCCCTTCCCATCTAGATAGCTGTGTTCAATTTCAAACATTAGCCAATCCAGTCAGTTTAGACTGTTCAGTCCAACTCCAGCCAATGGAGAAAGGACACAGCAGTAGGAACCAACTACATTAGGGATTAAAAAACCCCTGTCCTGCTGCAGGTGTTCATCCCACAGACCCTGACCCAAAAACAGATTAATAACATACCCTGACACAGGTATTATGCTTGTCAGTCCAGCTGACAGTCCAGCCCACTTACAGACTCCCAGGAGAGTGCTGTAAAGATTTGCAACCATGGCCCTGACTCACTGGCCCTCCCGGCATTTATACACCACATATTAAATGACAAAAGTCTCAAGTAAACACCACTAGAAGGTAATTACTGTTGCCGACCCTCCATCCCCCACAGTAGAGAGCAATCATGCACCTGCAGATGGTCAAAGGTTTGTCTTAGGACTGATGGTCAAAGGTTTGTCTTAGGACCACATGAATAAACAAGCTATTTGGATAGAGTCCTCTACATTCCTATGTTAATTACACTTGCTATAGCTCAAAGAGGATTAGGCTGCCTTCAGCCCTAACTCTATCCTGAGGCTTTTGCAAAAACCTTCCAGCTTTCCAAGAAGGTTTGTGTTTATTTTACAATCTTTCCCATCATCCTGACTGATACCCTACATCTCCCCCTTTTCTATTTTCTGTATCTTATTGATTGGAGAGTGCAGATATATGCAGCAACAGGTTTGTCAGGTGTGGTGGTCATTGCTCTTACTCCGGCTTTGCATCCTAGAATTAGTAAATAACATAAGACCATCATGAGTATAATTAGCAACATTCTTTTCCAGTCAGAGAGTGACCCCCAGGAGTGGGTGTCAAACCAGTAGAGATGATCTTGCACACCCTTCAGTATGGCTGTTTGTTAGGTGTGTAGATCTAAAGTGTGAAGGGATTCTAAAATTTTAGTTTTAAGTTGCTTTACATCTGCTGTTAAATTGTTATGAAAGGTTCCCCAGAGATGTTGTTTCACCTCATCCCAACTATGTGTTGATTGATTTCCATGGTAGAGAAGTGACACAGATACGTTCATGCTCCCAGCTGCAGTTTAATCGCTGTTGGAATGCCAGTGCATCTTGTTGCTCCCCCACGTATTCCAAAGCAGCCTTGAGGGATTGCAGACACGCAAGAATTTTTAAATCTATACCCTGCTGTAAGAGAAGTTCATTAGACACATTTTTGGCCAGATTATCTACAAAGACATCTGTTTGTACTGATTCAGTAATAGATGCCACAGCAACAACAGCAGTTGCCAGGATGACTGTGGCTGAGACTGTAAAGGCCATAAATGTAACCATGAATCTTTTGTGTCTGAATTGGGACAAGTCACGTTCTAAGGTGGCAAGGGCAGAGGAACCCTGCCAAGCGCATTTCAAATTGACTGGTAGGAATGTCTCAGATTGTCTCCTTAATACCATGACACTAGTAATATTTAGATTGGATATATTGTAATTAGTGATACATGAGGCAAACCAAGCCTGTCCCTGCACCTGGGTCACAAACGTCGAGTTTTGGAGTGTAATAGAAATATAGGTTCCCATAAGGAAAACATATGGATGGGTAGTGCAAATCAGGCACTGATCAGTGTGATTATGAATAAAGGTTATAGTATAGTTGTTACTGGAATTATGATATGTTCCATGCCAGGTGTCAAGGGAGGTGCCAAGATGTCCCAGGCATCATAAAGTGTCTTGGATTTTACTTGGCATCTGGGATATCCCATCCCCAAATTGGCCCAAATCATAGGGGAACAGGACGTGACTATGAAACTGTGATTGATGCCATGACAGATGAGGACATTAGTAAGGCTGCCCTGCAAATGGCCATGGGGGCTCCAGTCTAAGATGCTATAATTGCCTAACTGGAGGCTATGTGCTTGTCCCCCATGACAGACCTCCCAGCTAAAGTGAAATCCATTACTTTCCTGGCTTTTTCCTTTAGCACAGGAAGGAACGTTTGGGAAAGTGGCATTGATTGCATTACCTGGTTTGAGGCTACCTGCAGCTAAGGCTGTTAAGGCATTTCCTTTGCCATGATGTAGCCAAAAATTGTGTTTGGGCAGATACATAGTAAGGGTTAGAACTTTTATAGCTTACACACAGTGGGAGGATAGTGGAGTGATATGTAGTGTTATCTGGCACCTTAGTCCAATGTGTGCCATTATTGAGGGATCCCAATGGGGGACTTTATCCCTCCCAGACAAGCAGTCATGTTATTATAGGCTGAGAAGGGGGTGTCTGCCCAGGTGACAGGGCAAAAGAAAGGTGGATCTAAGATATGAGCCCAATAGAGTGTAGCAGGTACAGGTTGCAGATAAAGAGAGAGCATAAAAAGGATCAATACCCTACCTGAGTTGCAATGTACAACAGAAAGCATAGCAAGGAACAAATTATCTAGAGTAAATGGTGTCTGTGTCTGGAGCACAATTCATTCAGCCTCCTGAGTTGTCCTCTTCAGCATCTCCCAGGTAATGTCCGAGGCTTGTGTGGTCTGCAGAAGCCACATTGTCTGGGGCTGCGGGTCCTGTGGGGTCTGTTCCTTCATCTCTGGTACCAGGTTGGGTCCTAGCCATGCCACTGAGTGGTGACAATATACTAGCAGCCCTCACTCTCGGCACCTCCTCGGCCTCGGCATCCACTCTGGTGGCACTTGAGGAGCCCTTCAGCCTGCCACGGCACTGTGGGAGCCCCTCTCTGGGCTGGCCGAGGCCAGAACTGCCTCCCTCTGCTTGTGGTGATGTGTGAAGGGAGAGGCATGGGCGGGAACTGGGGCTGCACGTGGTGCTTGTGGGCCAGCGTGAGTTCTGGCAGGTGCGGGAGTGGGCTTGGCGGGCCCCACACACAGAGTGGCCGGCTGGCGTCACTGGCCCAGGGCAGTGAGGGGCTTAGCACCCAGGCCATCAGCTGTGGAGGTTGCACCAGGTACCCCAGCACTACCAGCCCACATGCACAGTGCTTGAATTCTCGCAGGGCCTCAGTTGCCTCCCCGGGGGTCAGGGCTCAGGACCTGCAGCCTGCCATGTCTGAGCCCCATCCACCGCGGTGGGCTCCTGCGTGGCCCAAGCCTCCCTGATGAGCGCCGTCCCCTGCTCTGCGGTGCCCGGTCTTATCAACTGCCCAAGGTCTGAGAAGTGCGGGCACATGGCGCAGGACTGGTGGGCAGCTTGGCCTGCAGCCCAGTGCGGGATACACTAGGTGAAGCCAGCTTAGCTCCTGAGTCTAGTAGGGACTTGGAGAACCTTTATGTCTAGCTAAGGGATTGTAAACGCACCAATCAGCACTCTGTGTCTAGCTCAAGGTTTGTAAATGCACCTATCAGTACTCTGTATCTAGCTCACGGTTTGTAAATACACCAATCGGTACTCTGTATCTAGCTAACCTAGTGGGGACTTGGAGAACTTTTCTGTCTAGCACTATGTGTCTAGCTAAAGGTTTGTAAAAGCACCAATCAGCACTCTGTCAAAATGGACCAATCAGCTCTCTGTAAAACAGACCAATCAGCTCTCTGTAAAATGGACCAATCAGCAGAATGTGGGTGGGATCAGATAAGGAAATAAAAGCAGGCTGCCCGAGCCAGCAGTGGCAACCCGCTCAGGTCCCCTTCCACACTGTGGAAGCTTTGTTCTTTTGCTCTTTGCAATAAGTCTTGCTGCTGCTCCCTCTTTGGGTCCACGCTGCCTGTATGAGCTGTAACACTCATTGTGAAGGTCTGCAGCTTCACTCCTGAAGCCAACAAGACCACAAAGCCACTGGGAAGAACAAACAACTCCAGACGTGCTGCCTTTAAGAGCTGTAACACTCACCACGAAGGTCTACAGCTTCACTCCTGTCAGCGAGACCACGAACCCACCAGAAGGAGGAAGCTCCAGAAACATCTGAATGTCTGAAGGAACCAACTCTGGACACACCATCTTTAAGAACTGTAACACTCACTGCGGGGGTCCGCGGCTTCATTCTTGAAGTCAGTGAGACCAAGAACCCACCAATTCCGGACACACCATGGTATGGTTTGATGCATCATGCTGGAATCTAAAGAGGACCTGAGGAGGTGTGAACACAAGCATATCCTCTTCTCTACTTTACTAATTTACTTGGACCACACCATATATTACTGTTCACATCTTTCCATAAAACTACAGGTTTTATGCCTCGAGAGGTTTTAGCGAAGTGCTTTTCTACAGCTGATTGAAATTTGTCATCTAAATTTAGAAAATGTAGGGTAAATAAGGCTTGTGCCAATAGTGTTGCAGGGTCTTTACCCATACTCACCCTTTTCTGTTTTTTGAGCACATTTTTAAGGGTGGAGTGGGCACGTTCTACTATGGCTTGTCTTTGGGGGTTATGTGGGATGCCTGTGTAATGATAGATATTCTACATGTGACAAAATTGTTGAAATTGTGAGCTGGCATAAGCTGGACTGTTATCAGTTTTAATTTTTGAAGACTGCCTCATAAATGCAAAAGTTAAAAGATGTTTAATGACATATCGGGTTGATTCTCCAGGAAGGGTGTGTGCACTAATTAGATGAGTGTTGGTATCAATGAATACATGTACATATCTAAGTTTTCCAAATTCAGGAATGTGTGTAACATCTGTTTGCCATAACTGATTAGGTTCTAGTCCTCTAGGGTTAACACCTGTGGAAGGAGGGGATGTGCCTGTGAGCTGGCAATCTGGGCATTGTAGGATAATTTCTTTAGCCAGTCTCTGTGTAAGCTGAAATTGCTTAGATAAGTTTCTCCAATTTTTGTGGAAAAATTGATGCAATTGGGTCGTTTGGTTAAGCAGTGATGTCATAACCTGAAGGTCTGCTTGTCCATTTCTATAAGCCAATGGGCCAGGCAGAGAGCTGTGGGCTCAAATGTGTGTGATAAAAATAGGATGTGTATGTTGATCTAGCAATTGCTCAAGTCAGAAAAAAAGAGCACATAGGGTGGGCTCAAGAGTGGGCTTAATTAGGGCTGTTTCAAGGTTCTGCAATAAATAAACAGAGTAAGCCAAGTCACTCACAATATTGATGGGCTGAGTGGAAAAAGTTTCCAAGGCCAATATCAGGACCCAGTCTCAGCTCTCTGAATGCTAGTAAACCCAGATCAAGTGATTGAATTATGTGGTCTCCACCAGACTGCTGCTTTTCCATGTTTACCACAACCATCAGTAAACAGTGTTAAAGCATTAGATATGGGGGAGTGAACTATTTTTGTGGGCAAGATTACTGGAGTATGAGATAAGAAATGAAGGAGTTTATCAGCAGGGAGGACATACTGTGTTTATCCTGTGTAATCAGAGAAAACTATTTGCAGATCAATAGATACTGGCAATACTGCTTCAAATTGCTTTTTACTTAAAGAAATCCTGATGACAACAGGGTCATAACCTAACACTGAATAGATGACTTTAGTAATTAACTGAATATAGGGAGATAGTGTTTTAGTTCTGGTATGTGAGCAAAAAACTCATGCTAGGAAGCGAAGCCTGGGGGCCATCTGTCCTATTAACCCTGTAGAAGAGTGTTTAGTGGGAAAAATAAACAATTGAATTGAATACCATGGATCAATGCGATCTAGCTGCCTCTGAGAGATGGCTTGCTCTATGTCCTTGATTTCACTTTTTGCTGCAGGGGTTAAATATCTGGGAAAATCCAGGGCTGGATTGCCTTTTAAGACAGAGAACAGATTTTGCAGTTTATTATTAGAATTTGTAATTTCTCTCCCTTTAAACTTTACTGCTCTACTTACATTGAATTTTGAGAGAGCCATGTCAGGGGTAAGAGAGTGATAACAGCAGTGGCTATTATTAGAAAAGGGGTCTTTCAAATTCTTAAATTGTACTTAAATTTTAGCAGGGAATTATAATTTGGGATGTCGCTTGCATACAAGGAACACATGAAATTTTGCTCTGGGTGGCCTGCAGAGCCAGAGAGCTGAGCAGGCAGGCCCCAGGGTGACAGCCGCTTTGCATTTGCTTAGGTGCTGCCGTTTTTTGTGCCACTTCTCTCCATGCCACTTTTTCTGTGTGTGCCGCTCCTTCCCCCCACCACCAGGCAGCTGCTGTCAGCCAGGTGGATCTTCCTGTGCACACTTCCTGCCCCTCCCTAGCAGACCAGCCCCAGCGCGCTGGGCCTGGCTTCCTGTCGCTGCCCCCATGCAAGCCAAGTTCCTGGGAGCACTTGCTGGCTCCAGGTCCACGAGCTTCCCCACCACTGAGCTTTCCCTTTTGCCTACCACTTGCTTGGCCACGCAGCCCTGGCTTCTAATGCCTTTTCTAAACTTTTTTATAAGCGTTAAAAGAAATGGGTTTGTATACTTGATTGCCTTGCTGATCTTGCATTACCAGGCAGGCTAAGTGCTCCCCTTCTAATGCCGCCTGCCTGAGACAGGGTCTCATAGCTGTGGTGTATCTCCTGTCCTTTTTCCTATCTATTGGAGGAGGAGGAGGCTTAGGTAAAACCTCTGTTTCCTCTTTGTTGTTTTGGCCCAGTGATATCAGGGCGGAGGGAAGAGGAGGCGGTAAGGCAGCTGACATTTCTTTCTCCTTCCCCTTTTTAGGCTCTTCTGTGTATAATGGAGCCAGGGTTGCCTTAATTAAAGCCCATAGTGTTAGAGCTATTACTGAGACCTGTTGCCCTTGTGCATAATTTTGTTTAAGATTTCTCCCCACTTGTTCCCAGAGCTCTATGTCTAGCGTGCCTTTTCTAGTGAACCATGGGTTTGGGATTCAACAGTTTGCATTAGGTCCCTTAATTGAGCCTGCAAAACCAAGGCTCTGATAGCTTTAAGCAGCTGTTTCAATACTTTTATATACTGTTTCTGCTGAGCTGATAACTATTGTCCCATGATGAAACCTCAGCCTGAACAATCCCCCTGAACTTGGAAATCCTGAGTGGGCACTAATGACTTACTGATTATTCAGTAACCATGTGGTCCTTTTTTACCTTCATTTTCAGGGGGTCTTTCGTGCTTCCTTTGTAGTGATCCTCACACAGGGCACCAGCTGCGGGGGTCCATCCTGCAGACCCTGACCCAACAACAGATGAATAAATACACTGACACAGATATTATGCTGAGAGTCCAGGCCATTTACAAACTCCTGAGAGAGTGTTGTAAAGACTTGCAACCATGGCCCCTACTCCCTGGCCCTGCTGGCATTTATTTGGCACACATTAAATGACAAAAGTCTCAAGTAAACACCACCACTAGAAGGTAAATTAACATCACGATCCCCCCCCCCCCCGCCCCGAGTTGGAGAGCAATCATGGTTCTGCCAGAAATGTCAAAGGTTAGTCTTAGGACACATGGTAACAAGCTTATTTAGATAAGACCTCTACATTCCTATGTTAATGTTACGATTGCTATAGCTCAGAGGAGTTAGGCCTGGGCCTTCAGCCTAACTTCTATCCTGAGGCTTTTGCAAAACTTCCAGCTTTCCAGAGAATTTGTGTTTATTTTACAATTTTCCACCATCTTGAACCTGACTCCTACACCCTACCCCACTCGGTGTACTCCTTGTGATCTGACCTGGGTGCAAGCTGACCTTCTGCAGAAAATAAAATTTGCCTTGCTGAGAAAATTTCCTGTTCGAGTGCTATTTTTTGGCGGCAACTGAAACTTGTTCCAACGTGAGTAGCCTGTAGGTGTAAGGAGAAATTAACGCCCAGCTTGGGTTTTATCCTTTAGCCAAGACAAACCCCAATTTCAGTTACTTACCTAGGGGTGGGAAGTAGTAGGACTGGCTATCTATATCCTAGAAAGCCAGGGGGAAAAACTATCGGTTCCTGGCTGGAATCAACCCAAACTCTGTAAAGGAGTTACCTGTCTTCCATCATCATGGAAGCAGGAAAAACTTGCCTTCCTTGTATTGGAAGCAAGTAAAACTCAAAAAAAAAAAAAAAAAAAAAAAAAGGAGATCAGGGATTCTCTGGAGGGGGTGCTTTCAGACCTCAGCAAATTATCCTATTGGTTTGAGCCATAAAGTTAGCTCATGCTAACTTTGATTTAAAGCTTGTCAAAGGTTGAGATATCTCCACTCAGAAACCCCTTCTGGGCACTTTGGGAGGCTGAGGCGGGTGGATCACGAGGTCAGGAGTTCAAGACCAGTCTAGCCAAGATGATGAAACCCTGTCTCTACTAAAAATACAAAAATTAGCTGGACATGGTGGCACACTTCTGTCATCGCAGCTACTCGGGAGGCTGAGGCAGGAGAATTGCCTGAACCCAGGAGGCAGAGGTTGCAGTGAGCTGAGATCACACCACTGCACTCCAAC